TCTCGTCATCATCGCTCCTGAACAACGCATCACCGCATCTGCTGTGGACAGGAAAACTGGGCAGCACAAAAATGTTGCGCACTTTCGGCTGCATGGTACAGTACCGACCCCCAGCTGCACGCGCTGGCAGATTCTCCCAACGAGCACAGTGGGGACTACACCTGGGCATTGAAAAGAATTACAACGCGTGGAAGATTTTCGACGTCCACTCAAAAGAAACAGTGGCAGCACGTGATGTCATTTTCTACGAGCGACTCACCCTTTCAACATACCTGTACAACTTGGAGACTTCACGAGATGTCACAGGCGGTTTTTTGTGGGGACCGAGCCTTCGCTTCGGCAGAAGATGAAGCTGACCTGGACGAGCAGACCGTGGAAGGAGCTTCGGAAGAATCCGGACCACTTCCCTACTGCTCGGTGGATGTTCCAATGGACGATGACAACCCTCGCGAAAGCATCAACGCCGAAGTCTTCTACGACTTTGCCGACAACGGTTACGTTACACCTGCACAGGTCAACACCGACGAAGCAGAACGCGTAGGACCAAATTTCAATCCTACACCAGAAGCAGGAGATGAAGCAGTCTATCCCGAGGACACAACACTCCCCCGCTACACACAGAGTGGACTCCAGATACTCGGCCTCGTCCGCGGTTCACGGCACAGCCATTCCTAAGGAGCCTGCCACGGTTCAGCAGGCTCTGGGGGGGGAGCATAGGGAAAAATGGCGCGAAGCCATGGACAAGGAGCTGAAAGCACTGGAAGAACGGAACACCTGGAAAGTTGTTCCCATCGGCGTGGCACGAAACAAGACAGTACTCACCGGGAAATGGGTCTTCCGTGTGAAGACAAAGGCAGACGGCACCATCGACAAGTTTAAAGCGCGCTGGGTCGTACGCGGCTTCGACCAAGAACACGGACACGACTTCACCGAAACATTTGCGCCGGTCAGCCGACACACCTCGCTGCGAATTCTCCTCGCGATCGCCGCCATGAAGAAGAAGAAACTGCGGCAAATTGATGTCGCCAACGCATTTCTCTACGCACCTGTCGACGCAGAAATCTTCGTCGAACTACCACATGGCTCCAACGGAGAGCCTAACCAAGTCTGTCAGGTGCTGAAGTCGCTCTACGGCATCAAACAAGCTCCGAGGCTGTGGCAACAGTACCTGCACGTGAGACTTATCCGCATAGGATTCCGCCAGCTACCTCACGACCAGGGCATGTACCGGCTTACAAAAGGCACCGACTACATCCTACTAATCGTCTACGTAGACGATCTGCTCTACATCGGGTCGACCGACGGCGTCACTACCTGGTTCGAAGGGGAGCTACAGAAGGATCTTACGCTCACAGTCTCGTCCACCGTCACGCAATACCTCGGCCTCAACATTCAGGAAGATGAGAACGCAATCTACCTCAACACCGCAAAATACGCCGACACCATCGCCAAACGCTTCGCACTCACGCCGACCACCATCTCCACGCCATACCGCTACACGGCAGGAAATAACAAGGAAGGATCCGCTCCACTAAAGCCCGCCGGCATACGCGACTACCAGAGAAAACTGGGATGCCTCCTCTTCGCAGCTGTCACCTGCCGTCCGGACCTATCGTACTCCGCAAGTCAGCTCGCGACCTACCTCAAGAAACCTGAAGCAGAACACATGGCGGAACTCGACCGCGCTCTCCACTACCTCGTCAGCACCTCAACCGTCGGCCTAACCTACCACAAGAACGGGACTACGACACCTAAACTAATCGGCTACGTCGACGCCGATCACGCCGGCGACTCCGACAACAGACGCTCACGCACCGGCTACATCTATCGCCTCGAGCCTATCGGACCTATCTCCTGGCAGTCGAGCAAGCATGAGTTAATTGCTCTCTCCTCAGCAGAAGCTGAATATATCGCACTCTGCTCAGCCACCAAGGAAGGACTGTACCTTCGCGAACTTCTGGAGGAGGCGAAGCTGGCTCAGTTACCCAGCTTCTCCTTGTTCTGCGACAATCAGTCGGCAATTCGCATAGCCAACAAAAACGGATTTGCGAACAGGACGAAACATATCGCCCTGCGATATTTCTTCGTAAAAGACGAGATCGAGAAGGGGAAACTTGAGCTGTCTTACTGTCCCACGTCCGAGATGGCAGCTGATTATTTGACCAAGAAGCTCGGAAAGCAGAAGTTCGAGTACTGCATGCTGCTGACTGGACAGAGCCACGTCACCAGCAGCGACACTCCAGAAGCGAAGGGGAGTGTTGGAAACAATTGACTTAAGCGCCTCTGTCGTGTCGAAACACTAAGTCATAAGCGAAGCAGAACATATCGAAGCATCGGCGAGTCAACCCTCGGAGGTTGAGCAACTGCTGGAGGTTACGCGAAAGTCAAAGGGCAGCGACCTTTGACCTGACAAGTACAGCGCGACAGCAAGGACAAACAACTGACTCGTCACTAAGCAGTTGCCCGAGTCGTCACTGTATCGAACCGCAACAGCAAAACAGTTATTAGCTATAACCTTTCATATTCCCTTGTACTCTTATAAAAGCTTGTATCTCTTTGTTTTAATCAATCTACTTTGCCCTCACATACTAGCGCAAGGTGGTTCAAGCACTTCATTAAAAAAACGCTTCCGCTATTACACTGCTCTACTCAGAGTTTAGTCCTTCAAAGATCCTAAGGGCCTTTTTCAGCCCAACAGTGCCTACTCTGCCTCACATGCTGGTTGCTTAACTTTGCCTTGTACTGTGTGTTAAGATTAGGAGATTATGCAGTACTTAGGTTTAGGAGAGGTTTAGCAAAGAGAATCATGGAGGGAGAAGTTTGGCCAAAAGAGGGCTTTCATTATGAAGTTGTGAGTACAAATAGGAAGGAGAGGAAGGGGAAAAGGGTACACCACCAGCAGTTGAACCTAATATCTAACTAATACACTAGCAAGCTGTAGGCAGTTATAACAGGATATGCAAATATACTTCAACACACCCCCGTAACTACCTACGGCTATAGCTAGTGGTGTCTAGCACCAGGTCGCCTGGAGAGCGGTTGCTGTAGCTGGGATAGGCACAGAAACAACGGTGGCTGACCGGCAGCACCTGTGAACGCCAGAACGGAGGAGGGCGCGGAGAGCGCGGAGGAGGGCTGGGATAGCCGGAGGGCGAAGGATGCTGGTCGCTCTCCATCTACGAGCAAACACAACTGTTGGTGAGGAGGAGGAAGCTGCTGGTGGTGCACAGGAGGAGAGCGGAGGAGAGGCGGCTGGAGGAGAGGAGATAGGAGGAGGAGATGCGGCTGGAGGAGAGGAGAGGAGGAGGAGATGCGGCTGGAGGAGAGGAGAGAGGAGGAGATGCGGCTGGAGGAGAGGAGAGAGGAGGAGTTGATGCGGCTGGAGGGAGGAGTGAGGAGGAGGAGATGGAGAGGCGGCTGCTGGAGTGAGGAGAGGAGTGCAGATGTGGCGGTTTGCTGGTCATCCCCGCCACCCCCTCATCCCCCCCCCCCTCACGACCGTAAACACGGGCGCGAGAGAGAGGGAAGAGAAGGGCCGCGGGCTGTTGCTGCATAGTAACTCCCGCCACACCCTAATCCCCCCTCCCCCCCCCCCACGGTGAAGCCGCGTCAGGGAGGTGGTGCAGCGCGCGCTGCTGCGCCTGGTCGCGAATTGGTGGCGTGGGGCGCGCTGGCGACCGTCGCCGGGGCTGGCGCTGGCGCTGGCGACTGTCGTAGGGGCTGGCGCTGGTGCTGGCGACCGTCGTAGGGGCTGGCGCTGGTGCTGGCGACCGTCGTAGGGGCTGGCGCTGGCGCTGGCGACCGTCGTAGGGGCTGGCGCTGGCGCTGGCGACCGTCGTAGGGGCTGGCGCTGGCGCTCGCGTTGGCGCTGGTCGCTGGCGCTGGTCGCTGCCCTGGTCGCTGGCGCTGGTAGCGTAGCTGACGTGCTGCTGGGTGGGGCTACGGGCGGGCTGCAACTGCACGGCAAAGGGGCGACAGTGCTAGCCATGTAGGCAAGTGGTGGGCCCATTAGGATCGGGTCCTAGGCAGGAACCCGCTCTGATAGCATGTTAAGATTAGGAGATTATGCAGTACTTAGGTTTAGGAGAGGTTTAGCAAAGAGAATCATGGAGGGAGAAGTTTGGCCAAAAGAGGGCTTTCATTATGAAGTTGTGAGTACAAATAGGAAGGAGAGGAAGGGGAAAAGGGTACACCACCAGCAGTTGAACCTAATATCTAACTAATACACTAGCAAGCTGTAGGCAGTTATAACAGGATATGCAAATATACTTCAACACTGTGATATATATATATATATATATGTATATATATACCTGCATGCTTGCTCTTGCTAGGTTGTGATCACTACACTGTTTGTGCTTTTATAACTCTGCATGCGGCCGCTTGCTTGTGCTGAGACTGCGTGGTGATCTTGAGATCCACCCTGAGCTTTGCTTTGCTTTGTTCTCTTGCTTGACTGGTCGTGTGACCGTCTGTTGTGTTTTCTATCCCCCACTTTGCCTATGGGGGTGTGTCAAATTGCATTTGTTATCTCTAGGCTGTAGTGGGGCATACTCTAAGGAGTAACACTTTGAGGTTAGGTAGTACTTGTACATCCTTGCTACCTAGTCCATCATTCCTACTTACTGATGGACTGGAAGCCCGCCTGCCACCTCAGTCCCAACGCCTCGTTGTCACAGATCCGCCGCATCACGCATAATGGTTTAAGTATATGTGCGTGTGTAGTCATCACACCTGACCTGATGGAAACGGATTTGCACGTAAAGAGTACAAAATGGTGGGGGGAATGTTCTGGAAATCCCCAAACCCCTGAATGCTTCTGCTCCAGCACGCCTCAATTGCAATACGTCACTCATTGCGGTCGTCGCAAGCCGCATCTTGCTGCGATCGTGTTACAAAGCGTATCTCGTGCCCTTCCGCCATCGCACACCGCCCCCTCTCGTCTCGCCCGTCGCGTTTGCTGCTTACACGTTTACTCCGCTCACCTTCTCGACTTCGCGATGGCGGGAGAATCCGCGTCTTCCGCCGTCCCGCCTACTCCGCGCGACGATGGCGGCGATAGCAGCGCAGCGCGCGCCGCGCCGGAAGCTACAGCCCCCGCTCCCCAGGCATCGGGAGCGCCAGGTGCACCTGGAGCGCCGGACGCGCAAGCGTCGACTGAGTCAGCAGAAGCGGGGGCAGAAGCGGCGGAGGACGCGGCGTTGGAAGCGGCGGTGGCGGCGCTTCCGTCGCTGCTGCTGACGCCGGAGCTGGCGGAGGCGGTGGATCATCCGGACGTGGCGGCGATGCGCAGCCTCATGGAGGAGACGCCCGAGGAGGAGGTCACGTGGCTGAGGGTGAGTGGTGGGCTGGAGTCGGGGGGTGCTCATGCCCCGTGGCGTAGCGCGTGCGCGGTATCGTGTGTGCGTGCGGGATGACACGGCTGGTTGCGCGGGTAGGCGCGGGCTGAGAGGCGCGCGGCCGATTTTCATCCTCCCGCCGTCCTCCTCCTCCACTCGCCCCCCTCTCCTTTCGACCTCTCCTGTCCTCCTTCGCCTGCTCCTTCCTGGCATCCGCTGCTTCCGCTACCCCATCCCCCTCCCCTTCTCCCCATCGTACAGGTGCGCGCAGCGCTCGTCCGCGCGGAGAGCAGGCGAGCAGCGCTGGTGAAGACAGCGCGCGCGCGCTCTGGCTCGAGACGCGCGCATCCCCCTGTTACGCCTCCTCCCGCACGCCCTTCATAACTCACACTACACCCCCGCACACTCTCGCGCACCCCCGCGCATCCCCGCGCGCACATCCGCAGGAGCAAGGCAACATAGCGCTGAAGGAGGGGCAGGAGCAGGGGCGCAAGGGGCAGCGCAAGCAGCAGCGACAAGCGTACCTCAAGGCCGTGGACCTTTACTCGCAGGCGCTCTCCGTGCGCGACGCGCACCCCCACGCGGACATCCCCGCCTCCGCGGTGGCGGTGCTGCGCGGCAACCGCGCGCAGGCGCACCTGCTGCTGGGGAACCACGGCCACGCGCTCGCGGACGCCGCCGAGTCCAGCCGCCTCGACGCCACCAACGCCAAGGTGGGGGGAAAGGGGGCGGGGGGGCGGAGGGCTGAGGGCGGACGGCGGGAGGGGAGGAGGGGGGGCGGGCGGGGGACGGGTAATGAGGCGAGGGGGAAGGAGGCGCTCGTTGTCAGACTTGATGCCATCCATCATTGCCCCCACCCACCCGCCCCCACCCATCATTACCAGATACTTTCGATAGAAGTTCTTTCTTGCTGCTTCTCTGGATTCATCACGGGCCTCTCCGCCCCTCCCCACCCGCCCTCCTGCATGCCTATCTTTCATCACCCCATTTCCACTCACCCCAGCCCCTCTACTCACAGCCAGTGCGGCACGTGGAAGAAGTGGGGCGGGGGTCTGTAGCCCTGGCGCTCACCCCCTGGCGCTCACCCCCTGGCGCTCACCCCCTGGCGCTCACCCCCTGGCACTCACACCTCGTTGTTGCTTGATTCCATGAACAGGACTAGAAGCCATCCTGCCGCATGCCACCTCTCTCTTGCCCTTGCCTGCCATCGTGCCACATGCCACGATCCATCCTAGCTGTGACTTCTCCTTGCACACCAGCGTTGGACGACGTGCTGTGCTCCCCCATGTTTCCCATCACCCCTGCGCTCGCCTATCTGCACTTCCCTCTCCCACTTCTTCACAACCTGCACCACCCTCTCCCCACCTTCCCCTACCTTCGTCCTGCACATCCCCCCCCTTCCCACCTGTGCCATCCCCCTGCCAGGCGCCCTTCAGAGCGGCAAAGGCGTGCCTGGCGTTGAAGCGCTATGCAGAAGCCATCACGTGGTGCGACGCTGCTCTAGCGCTGCCCTGTGCTGCCCCAGCAGACCTGCTCAAGCTGCGCGGCGAAGCAGAGAGCAAGCTGGCCGTGCTGCAGGCTGCGGCAGCGCGCAGCACCGCCATCCGCAGCAAGGCGGAGCGCCTGGCGGCGTGCATCACGCAGCGTGGCGTGCGCATGGGGCGCGCCGCGTACAAGGCGCTCAGCGGCGCGCGCAAGCCGTGGGTGGACGAGACAGGGACGGTGCACTGGCCGGTAGTGGTGGTATACCCTGAAGTCATGGGCAGCGATTTGATCGAGGACGCGTGTGAGACGGACACGCTGGGAGCGCACGTGCGGGAGATGTTTGGTGCGCACACACCGCCACTGGAGTGGGACACAGCGGGGGCGTACAGCGCAGACGCCGTGCAGCTCTTCCTGCGCACCAGCGCCGTGCCTGCTGTTGCCAGCGCTGCCCTGCCACGCGCCCTGCTGGAGGACGCTGCAGGGCTGACGGACGAGGATAACCATGCCATGGCGGGTGCGGGAGAGGACGATGGGGATGACGGGCCTGATTGGTCGGGTGAGTGGAAGGCGAGGTGGCTCGGCCTTGCACTCGCTCACTCATCATTTTTCCTCCAGGCATGTGGTCTTTTCCCGTTCCATCTCTGGCGAAGAACCCTCCTTTTCCATTCTGCCTTTCCATCTCTATCCCTTCCCTCCCTCCGAACCCCTCTCCCTTTCTCTCTTTAACTCTCACTCCTCGTACCGCATGAATGTCCCCTCGCATGTGCTCGTCTCGCCACTAAATTCACCCACATGTGCTACCGCTGCAGCATCTGGCGAGCAGCAGTGGGTGCAAGTGCCTCTCGACCAGCCCCTCGCCAAAGTGCTCACACTACCCAATCATATCGTTCCAGGTGTCCCTGGTGAGTCGTCGTTTTGCCACTCATGTGTTGCACTTGTGCTTACTTGCCTCCTCGCCTGATGATGCCCACTGACAAATCCCTGGGCATATCTCGTGCCATTCATCTTGCATGCAAAGTCTTTGCGGACGTCCTACTCGCAGCAAGTACTCGAACTTGGAGGACTTTCAAGTCATGTTTGTCATTTCAACAGTGTGTTTCTCGTTTCTTTCTCCACACTCCGAACCCCCCGTTCCCTTGCCCGCCCCGCGCCCCTCTCTCCACCCCTAATGCCCTACGCATTATGCTGTGCAAACCGCATGTCAGTATTCTATGCTGTGTCAACAAGAAGCCTCTTCTATGGCACTTTCACGTCAGGCAAATGGGTTCCACCTTAGCACAGCAGTATGCAAATCCATTATACACACCACATTGTTTTTGCAAAAAGAGTCTGTTCAGAGTGTTGGACTAAAACAGACATTTCTTGCTGTTGTCAGGCTGTTTCATCGGTGTTTACCTATACCAAGGGTACATTCCCAAGTTAGGTACTTTGGCCCGAATGCAATAAGGAGGTTGACTGGATTGTGGTTGTGGTTTGGAACATCCATATTACGGATTTGTTGTAGTTGGGACGATCAATGTTGCAGAGAGTACCGTATTCAGTGTACAGGGCTCAATCTAAACACCAAAATGCAAACTGAAAGCTGTACACTATGAAAACATCACACACCCCATCCTGCCTTTCAAGTAACTCAGTAAAGGCCACTAAAATGTACACTTCGAAATCTCGTGCTCCAAATGATTTCGCAAATTCCAATGAAGAAACATTTCATTCAAGCAACTGGGATCTCGATGGCCGAGGGGGTAGCCTCGGGCGGAGTTTCCTTGGCCATAGTGACAGTGAGCACACCATTCTTCATCTCCGCCTTAATCTGATCCGTGAGAACGTTATCCGGAAGGGCCAGAGTAGTCTGCAAAACCAGCAACATTACAAATTTGAATCGACGATGATGCAAAACATCAACACTTTAGATAAAATGCGCGTCAAGTATTTGTTCTGCAGATTGGTCAGGACACATGAAGTAGCAACTTCTCAAGGCACCTCACCTGGTAGGACTTGGCGATGCGCGCATCCCAGAGTCCCTCTCCCTCCTCTCCGCCCTTCTCCTCCGCCTTGTGCTCTCCGCGAATCACCAGATTGCCATTCTCCAGCTTCACCGACACCTCCTCCTTGGACATACCTGCATGCGTCACCACCAAAAACGCCAGCAGAGAAAATATGAAATAACTCTTCGGTTGCGAATCTACTTTTTTTTTTGAATGGGTATGAGACGGGAGGCAGCGCGAGCGGCGCACCGGGCATGTCGAGGCGCATGTGGAAGGCGTCGTCCGTTTCGCGCAAGTCCCACGGCGTCCTCACCGCCACACCGGGGCGCGCGGCAGCGCTGCTGGCGGCGAGCGGCGATGTGGCGCGGAAGAGAGAGGGGAAGCGCGGCATCATGGGCAGCAGGAGCGAGTCGTCGAACATGCGATCCACGGAGTCGAGAAGCTGCGTCAGCGAGCGGTTCGCCGGGAACGGGTCGAATAGGTCTGCCAGGCATGAACGGGCGACGACGAGAAATGTCAACAGGTCAACTTGCCCTTGAAGGTCAGCCTCACACGGATGAAAAATAATATACGACAGGAATTTGAACGGGCATAAAGATTCAGGATGTCATCGCGAAATGCGTTCCATCCTCGCACTTCTACCTGAAAAGGCCCCAAGGGGAGCGACGGCACGGGATGCCAGGTCCCTCTGTCCCCTCCTCTCCACCGCCATGGGCATCGCCTCGTGCTGCATCATCTGCTTCTCATCATGCGACTGCTGCTGGGATGGCTGTTGCTGCTGCTGAGGCTTCTCCGCTGATGCGAAGATAGTGCGGGACCCTGACACGCCGCGAGGCGCCTTCAAAATGTCTGCGTCGGGAAGTGGAAGGAGTCGATGTTGCATAAGGGTGCAGTTTTGCGATGCAAAACTTTTATGGGCATGGTGCACAAGAGACCGAATTCATTGTCGCAGCAACACGAATGGCGTACCTGGCTTCTTGAGAAGAAGAGGAGCTCGCAGAAGGCGAGGCACGCTGCGAAGCGCAAGAGCAGTTGCGGAAGCCATGGTGACAATCGTCCGCAAAGATTCAAGCAGCACAAGGAGCTCTCTACTTTCGCGACAATTTAAGATGCAACGGGCGTGTTCAACGTCTATGGGTGATGACCTTGCAGGCTTTGCGAGCGTTGCGAGCTTGGCAAGCGTTGCGTTTGCTCAGCGCTGAATATATCGAAGAGGCTTTGGATGACAAATTCTAGCACCTGCATTGCCTATTATACTTCCTCAGAGCTATTGATGAGCATCATCACCACCACATTGCATGAAAGCGGCATGCGATTCCATTCTTACGCGCCTCGGTGTTTCCAGAAGATTGTGTCACAATATTCCTGCTTACGTGGGCGATCTTTTTGGCTTCATGACGCAAACCATTCACACGTCTGCATGGTGTGACGTATGCTTTGGCTTTTCCAAAGCCGGATGCGAACACTCGAGACATATCTCGATCGAGTTGGAGCACATGATTGCACCGTCAGACGGTGATGCATTGGTTTGCATGCCGATGTGTATGATAAAATGTTTTGCGTGTGTTGTGCGACATTCGGTTGTGTGCTGAGTGCGAAAACATGGTTACCATACATATCGGTCGACCTTAAATTAGTCCAGCAGCTCATATTCTCTGTAAAAAAGGAACTGTTAAGGCTAAAAAGGCAGTAAAATGACCTACCAACTCGACTAATAATGAGGGGCTACTTACTCTCCTGACAACAAAATACCAATCATCCTCTAGTGGTTAGTGCCCCCTAGATTGTTGTTCGAAACACAGGTGGTTGTGACTACGTTGTACTACTACAATGACCGCTCCATCCAGTTGGGTAACTGTGTTGGTGTTGCAATCCCAAGTCGCCGCAGGAAAAGTGTGTAAAGAATGTGGAGGAGAAGTGCGAAGGATGCTGAGTTGAACAGCAACTGGAGTGGCGATTCGTCCAACCGACCATGTCGAGAATGGGAAAGAAAGAGAAGGGGCATCGCAAAAAGGGAAAGGAGGTCACACACAACAAAGAATATTAGAAAGGCGTTAAAAAAAATACAAGGACAAACAACCAAAACGGGAGTGGAATGGGAGGGACAAAGCAAGAGCATGCACCAGACAAGTAATTCCCATGAAGCGGCACAGCGAGGAGACTTATTGACGAGAAGAGCATGGCACATGGAGAAGTGAGCATGACATGGCACATGGTGGTAGAAAGCCGTGGCTAAACCCAATGCCCCGGTCTGCGGCACTTGGTGGCGGGGTGGGGGAGTGAGAGGGGCACGCACGAGGGTGGTGAAGATGACGGTGATGAGGGAGAAGGAGGGCACGAGGCTGGCACTGATGCCCGCAAACACGTGTGAGAGCGATGCTTGCACGTTCATGAGGATCTGAGGGGCGCGCACAGAGGGATGACAGGCGGAGTAAAGGGGGGATGAGGAGAGGGATGAACGAGTTGGGTACAGGGGTAGAACAGGGGAGGGGAGGAGAGGCAGGCAAGGCGATTTAAAGAGCAGAGTGGAGTGCTTGGCAGCATGGTGGGAGGTTGGACGCATGGACATATGGCTAGACATAGATGCAAAAAAGGAGGAACATGATTGCCGTGTGAGTGGGTGAGCGGCACGGACCAGTTTGAGAATGTTTTCTCGAATGAGCCACGAGGAGAGCAGCACAAAGGACACTGCGCCTGCTGCCCGCACCTGAGGCACGCGAGACAGAGATGGCAGAAGGAGGGAGTGGTTGGGTGGAAAGAGGATGGCGACACAAGGGCATACCAGCGGCAGAAGTGCAAATGCCACAAAATCATCACAGCTGCAAAGTGGTCATGTTGGCTCACACAGAGGTGCATGGGAAGAATCACAGGGGAGAGGGAGCGCCGCGAGCGAAAGTGGAAGGGCGGTGGGGTGAGAGGCAGGCTTACGAATGTGCAGGCGAGGATGGAGATGGGCCAAGACAGACCGAGACTGCAGAGAAGGGAGGTGAGCGGGGCAGAGAGGAAAGATGGGAGACGGTGAGGAAGCAGAGCATGCAGGGACAGCGCGTTGCAGTGAGCAGCAAGGAGATGAGAATTTGAGGTCCAGAATTCAGATCTTCCACATGGATCCGAGGAATGGCAGGTGGTCGGTCGATTACAGGATACACAGACCGGCTCGTAGCTACCAACACACACCCAAGGAGCACAAGATTGCGTGAACGTTTAACGTGCAAGGCACACACACGTGCACACACGAGCGCTCACCCCCAGCAGAGACCGAGAGTGGAGCCAAGAAAGCCGTGCAGCAGCTGAGACGAGAATGGCACAAGGGGGTGAGAATCGGATGGGAAGAGGGGCAGGGGATGGACGTGAGAGAGAGAGAAAGGAGGAGGGGAGGGGAGGAGAAGAGGAAACGTGATGCAAACAGGGAGTGCGGGAGGGAGACGGGAGTGAGAGAGAGAGGGGGGGGTAGGATAAAGAGAACAAACGGGAGATGGGACAAGGCAAAGGAGAGTACACATCAGTGAAGTGGAGAAGGCGAGCACTTAAAAAAAGAGAGAGAGTGGGGAAACGGTCAAATACGGGTGGGAGGCAGACGAATGGTGAGGTGAGCACCACAGTGAGGGGCTTACGAGAAACGTGATTGCTTTAATGGGCCCGGCGAGGACGAGCAGCAGAAACGCTGCCGATACCTGAGTGCACGGAGGGGGGGGTGGGTGCGGGAAGAGAAAGGAGCAAGCAGAGTGGCAACGGGAAGGGAGGGCGGGGGAGAGAGAGAAACGGAGAGGAGAAGAAGGTTAGGAGTGGGGAGGCGGGTCGAGGGAGAGAGGGAGGGGAAGGCGAAGGAGTGAAGGAGAAGTGCGCATGGGCATGGAGGAGAGAAGTCGCATGCTGGGATGCTGTCACAATGGGGCCAGTGCAAGGGGCAAGACTTCAAAGTGCTACACAAAGCCCACGTGGCTTGGAACAGCTCTCACGTCCAACTCTCTCGCCTCTCTCGCCTTTCTTGCAATGCTATGCCTCCACTCCCTACTCACCTGCAATCCCAATCCCTCCAAATCCCGTTCATCCCCTCCTTCCCATTCCCCCCTTTCCTCTCCCATATCCTTGACTGTCAACTACCCCAATCCCCCCTCTCGCCCTCTCCTTCCCCCAATCTTGCTCCCCTTCCTCTCTCATCCCCTCTCCCCTCCCTTCGCTCGCTCATTCCCCTTCTCCTCCCCTTTTTCATCTCATCCGTCTCCCCGTTTCCCTTTCCCCCGTTCTTTCCAGTCAGCTTCTCCTCCCCCCCCCCCCCCCCCCCCCAATCACTTCCCTTCTGACCCGCTTACCAACCCCCAACCTTCCCATCCCCTCAACTCTCATCCCCCCAACCTTCGTAATTCCCCTCACCCCAATCCCGCCCCTCCTTCTCTCCCATCCCCCTCTTCCCTCCCCTCCCCCTTCCCCCCCTCAAAACTCCCCCTCCCCCGTACCGCGGTGCGCAGGCCGGTGGTGGCGCCCCAGCGCATGGAGGCAACAACAGCGGGGAGCGGGAAGAAGAACCCGAGGTAGCCCTCCACGCGCAGCGAGTTCGCCAGGAAGAACGCCAGCCCCGACGTCGCCGCCAGCATCGCCGTCTCCACCATCTGAAGCGTCTCGCGGAACCGCGCGCTGCTTCCGCCCTCCGCCTCCGCGCCCATCTCCGGACCTGCCTCCGCGGCTTCGTCCGCGATGCAGTCCCCACTCTCCGCGCGCGCATCCGCGCCTGCGCCCTCTCTTCCCGCCCCTGTTGTACTGCCCCCGTGCGGCGGAGGTTCCGAAGCGGTTTCTGCCTGGTTCAACGCGGCGGCGGCACCCCTCCCGGGAGTTGCGCTACCATCGTCCCTGTCCGCGCCCGCGGCGTGCTGTCCTTTCCCTGCCGCCGCCGCCGCCGCCGCCGCCGCCGCCGCCGCCGCCGCCGCCGCCGCCGCCGCCGCCGCCGCCGCTGCGGGTGAGGGCACAACGGGCGGCGGCACAGGAGCAGATAACGGGCGCGAAGCCCCGTCTGAGCCGCGGCTACCCCCCGCGCTGCCCGCTGCCACGCGCACGCGCCACCGATGGCTGCCCCGTCGACCACTGCTGTCTACCCCCTCGCTTTCACCTCTGCTGCTAATGTTACCCGCGGAGCAGTCGGTGCCACATGTCCTCCTTCTACTCGACCAGTCAGCGGCGGCAATGTGGCGGCCATGGAGCGCCGCGCGGGTAGGTATCTGCGGCGAGTGGGTTAAAACCCTAACCCTGGCCTTCTGGTTACCCGTCGTCAAGCTTTCGCAGAATATGGCCTCCCGAGAGTGCGAACTGTGCGATCTCCTGACATACAGCTTGATGTGAGACGGAGATGGTAAGGGATGGAGAGAACGGGAGCAGCGAAGCGGCGTGAGGTGAAGAGGAGCGTCCTCTCTTGACCTGCCATGACCACATGGGTGCACGTCACGTGCCGATTCGCCGAGAAGCGTTAATCCGCCACGTGTTAGCACGTCATGAGCTGTCGACGGACTACTGGCGAGAGGACGGCGAGTGAGTGTGGCGGAGAGACATGGCGAAAAAAACACTTGCGCCGACATTCGATAAAAACCGCCCGTTCGCACCCGCCTTCGCAAACAGGCCCGCAATCCTCAGCCGCCGCCGCCGCCCCCCGACCCTGCCGTTGCCGCATACGCAACGGCGATCCGCGACTGGCCCGTTGTTACAGCGATAAAACTAAGACTAGGGTACGTAGTAAGTGCCAATCCCGCGCCCCGACAACCCTAAGAAAAAGCTTCAACGAACAAGTAGCTGAGTGCCACAAATCAGAGTTGACAAATCACAAGCGGCATAACGAGCGACGTGGCAGTTAGCGATAACAAGGCTGTGATCGGTACGTCCCACTCGGAGTGAGCCCACTCGGAGTGGAGAGGCTCGGTGGAGTGCACCGACATCCACCGAGATGGAGGAGTTTCCGTTTCCTTCCCAAGCCCGCTGTGAATTTCGCCCTCCAAGGGTTAATCGGCACGTCCGCGTAACTCCGAGTGAGGAAGTTGCGAGGGGCCTCACTTCACTCTCACTTCCCGAACCGCACTCTGCGTGGAGCTTGAAGCTGACCCTAAAAGCTGGAGTTCGTGGTGGGCCCACTCGGGATGGGGTTGCCCGTAACTGAAGGTTCCTGCTGGATTCCTAGGTCTTCAACTCGGGGTGCGATAAACTGGCCCTGTTCGACAGGCTAACACCGACGGCCGCAGAATCCTCGCAGCTCTTTCGTTTTCGCATTTTTTTCCACGGTCAGCCCGTAAAATTCTCGTATGGGGCTTTAACCCCCGCTAACCTGTTGGCAGAGTGTTAGCCTGTCGAACGCACTCGATAATTGACCCCTTCGCCCTTTCAGAAATTACCGCGAGCCTTCCCACACGGGCAAAGGTCTAGCCCTCGCCTAGTCTAACCCTCGCCCCCCAAAAGAGGGGTTTGCCAAAGGGCTCGCCAAGTGTTTGCAGTGGGAGGAACACCCACTCCGTGGACCCTAAAATAGGTCCTTGTGAACCCGTTAGGTTGAAAAAAAATCTTCCATTCAAAAACAATCTTTCTTGAGAGGCGAGCGATTTGTGGAGAAGGACTTTGTTTTTCCGTCGTTGTTACCCAGACCCCTTTGGCGAGCGGCCAAAACTTTTCTACTGTGCCCGCCTAAAGGCAGGTTGAAGGGGGCGGGCAGCTTCGCCTTGTGGGGCCCGCTCCTTCCGACTCCTACCCACGAAGCTTCAGCGGTCGATCAACTCGTAGAAGTTTCGGTGAACCCTCCTTTTAACACTAACCTAACACTAACACTTTGCAGAGTGTTAGCCTGTCGAACAGGGCAACATTTTGTCCCATTTTTGCCCACCGGGGTGGAAAGGCACGGTGAGATTACATCGAATACGGGGGCTAACCTGGTGCGACTCGGGAGTTTGTGAACCCCTGCGCAGCTTCGGCAATCGGAGTGAAGGGCGTACTGATCACCGCCCTAATGTCGTCAACATTAGGGAATCTACATGGTAGATCTCCCTCTTACTGTGTTCTAGTACGGTGCAGAGCGTTGACCGTCTGAAGTGTTGGTTTAGGCTGTAGGCTGTAAAAATTATTAATACGTAGGTAAGAAACAAAGGGAAAAATTGTGAAAGTTAAACATTAATGGGCCCCATTAATGCATACGGTAACCATTTCAATGTTTTATCGAGCGTTTGGTAACTCGTTTCATGGAATGGTAACTAAAAACTGGGGAAAAAATCACGTGAATGGTAACTACGTTTCTTGAGATGTAACTCTCCCATGTGTAATCTAAAGACGACTCTCGCTGAGGCCTCTGAGATTCGCGATTCTGTTTATCTACTGACAAACCGTTTCAGATTACCTTATTTTACCTCGAACAAAAGTGTCTCGATGCGATCATATTTTGCTCATAGTGCACGCCTGAAATAATAAAACCTATTATCAATGTGCTCATATATATATATATATATATATATATATATATATATAGCATGGTCTAATTTTACAAGTGTTACAATCCCAAGTGGGACTTAGCGAAGGATCGCTCATGGTTGATCGCAGTGTAGTGTTGAAGCGGAAGAGTTGACCTCAGGTCAGAGTGAATGTAAATGATTGAGTTTGATAACAGCATGCATACATCGAGTTTATATAGGAAATACAATGGAATACGAAACGACCTAGACTAGCCATGTGTCAGAACTATACTCAGGCTGTAGTGGGGCACTCCTTATGGGGTACAGCCCTGTTAGGTTTTGCCTATACAAACCCTGTACTGTTCTCATTCTAGTCATTCTCGTTCCTTACTTTGTGACATGGTTTCAGAGGAGGTTCCCTAGTGGGAACGTTTTTTTTAGGGCCCACCGCATTAGTTTCTTTTTTTTTACCTGCCCTGCCCGAAGCGCGCATCGCGCCTGCCTTACCTGCGCCGTCGCGCGCCCTGCCCTGCTGCCGCCCTTAGCGGCCCTGCCCGTCGCGGCCTTACCCTAGCGACCCGTCGCGGCCCTGTTCTAGCCGCCGTTCGCGGCCTTGCCCTGTCGCCGCCCTTCGTGGCCCACCCTAGCCGTCGTCGCGGCCCACCCTAGCCGTCGTCGCGGCCCACCCTAGCCGTCGTCGCGGCCCTGCCCTGCCGCCTTTCGTCGCGGCCCTGCTCTCTGCCGCGCGTCGCGGCCCTGCTCTCCGCCGCTCGTACCGGCCCTGCCCTGCCGCAGCTAGTCGCGGCCCTGCTCTCCGCCGCCCCGACGCGGCCCTGACGCGGCCCTGACGCCGCCTCGACGCGGCCCTGCCCTGCCGCCGCTTGTCGCGGCCCTGCTTTGCGCCGCCCCGACGCGGCAGCCGCCGAGACGCGGCTCTGCCCTACTGCTGCTCAGTCGCGGCCCTGCTCTACCGCCGCCTCGTCGCGGCCCTGCCCTGCCTACCAGTCGCGGCCCTGCCCTGCCGGCTTGTCGCGGCCCTGCCCTACCAGTCGCGGCCCTGCTGCTGCTACTGCTACTACCACTGCTGCCATGGCTAGCCCTAGTGTTCTTACCTTCGATGCTGAGGGTCGAGCGGTCGATTTCGAGGTATGGGTCGATGACCTGCAGCTCTTTCTGCAGTGCGACTCTAGGGACGGAGTTTCACTGTTCGATCACACGTCTGGCGCCTCTGTTGCACCTGCTGCCGATGCTGACAGTGCAGTTCGCTCGCAGTGGAACACTCGTGACGCTGCAGCTCGCCTCGCTGTTCATAGCCACCTGCCGTCTGCTGAGCGCGCACACTTTAGCCAGTACAAGACTGCTAAGACTCTGACGCTGTTGTTGCGCGCTACTCCTCCCCTGCCTCTGCTGCCCTCAGCCGCCTCATGCTGCCGTACCTGTTCCCTGACCTAGCCGCTTTTGCCACAGTCGCTGACCTCATTACCCACCTCCGCACTAGTGACACCCGCTACCGCGCTGCGCTTCCTTCCGAGTTCTGCGCCAAGAACCCCCCCCCTATGTACATCACCCTCTTCTACCTCGTCACCCCGGCTCCCTGACTCCCTTCGCTCAGTCAGGGACCACTTCCTCTCCCTTTGCCCCACCGAGCTCACCGTTGACCTCCTCGAGGAGCGCTTCCTTGCAGCTGAGAAGAGCTTAGTCGCTGTAGGAGCCTCTCGTGGTGACCCTCGTGCCCCTTTCTTCGAGGGGTGCTCCCCTGTCCCCCTTTTGCCCACTGTTGCCTCTGCTGCTGCTGTCGACCTCGTTGGCACCGAGTCGGTCAGGGCTGCGTCTGCTCCTAGTGGGAGGCGCCGCAACAGCAAGGGAAAGGGGGGCAAGGGTGGTGGAGGGGACGGCGGGGGCGGCGGTGGTGGCGGTGGAGGAGGTGGAGGGGGTGGGGGTGGAGGTGGGGGTGGTGGCGGGAGTGGGGGCTTCGGTGGTGGTGGTGGAGGTGGAGGCGGCGGTGGCAGCGGCAGTGGGGGTGGTGGCGGCGGTGGTGCTGGTCGGGGAGGCTTTGGCGGTGGCCAGCGCCAGCAGCAGCAGCGTTCCCGTGAGACCCTGTCGCCCCAGCAGCTTCGTGAGTGGTACGCTGGGCGTGGGAGGTCTGGGGGTGCTGGTCCCTGCGCGTATGTTCTCCGCACCGGCGAGCGCAGTGGGGAGACGTGCAGGCTACCGCACGCTACGCACCGCTGTTTCGGCCGCCTGACTGACGCCTGGCGTGCACAGTTTCCTGACGCCACTGAGCTCCCTCGCTGGGGTGATCTGCTTAGGTCGGGGGTTGCTATCTTTGATCTTGAATATGATGCTATCCTTGCTGCTATGTATGCTGTGACTATTAGTGCTGAGGATGACTGTAACCTGTGTGTTCCGCCCGACCCGGGCATTGAGGCTGCTGCTCTAGGTGCTAGTGAGTCTGCTGCTCTAGGTGCTAGTGAGTCTGCTGCCTCAGGTGCTGGTGAGTCTGCTCTCTCAGGTTCCGCGTCGGCTCAGGTCCTGCACACCTTCACCCTTTACTCAGGTGCTTCCCGTTCCTTCTTTTGCGACTGCACCACGCTCACGCCGCTCAGTCGGCCAGTGGCAGTCTCCCTGGCTGACCCCTCTGGGGGTCCAGTCCTTGCGCACTCTTCCACGGTTCTGCCGTGTCCAGCGGTCCCGTCTGGCTCACTGTCGGGTCTTCACCTCCCCTCGTTCTCCACGAACTTGGTGAGTGGAGCTGACCTTCAGGACGTGTGGGTTGACCAGTTCACTCCTGGAGGTCAGCGGGTGACCCACTGTACGTGTACTCGGACGGGCCGGCACCTGGCCACGTTTACCCGTCAGCCTGGGTCGAGCCTGTACACCCTGACTACCGTGTCTCCTCCAGTTGCTGAGTCTGGTCAGGTAGCCGCGTCTGGTCAGGTGTTTGCTGCAGCGTCCCGGTCTGGTCCTGAGTCTGCCCCCTGCTCGTGTCGCCTCCTGACTCACCAGACTCTCCTCTCGCACCACCGCCTTGGTCACCCCTCCCTGCCTCGTCACCGAGGCATGGCCTCCCGTGTCCTTGTCTCTGGTCTTCCCCGGTCTCTCCCTCCCCTCCCCCCGGGGCCTGCCCCTACCTGCGTTCCTTGCGTCAAGGGGCG